AACAATAACAAGAATAGTAATACAAGAATTATTCTAGAATGGGTAACATTTCAAGGGTAAATGCTAGTGAAAATCGGACAAGAGGTATTGATGATCTTGGGCGAAGATCAAGTGTAACAATTGGAATCCTTGAATAGTGATTGGCTCTAATTTTGGACTAGTTGATCTACATATAGCAAGAAATATAAACAAGATATGTAACTTCCACATGCCCCATCTTGTACAACATAAAACCTGATAATGCAATTGGTTATAGCAAAAAGAGCAAGATAATGAGGTATCTAGGGCTCCTAACAATACCACTTCGATATTAGTTCGATACTTAAATTTACTATAAAAACATATGAGTAGGTCACAACCCATATATTCAATTTACTATAGATCAATACCATTTCAATACCAGTTCAATATCAGTTCGATACTTTTTCAGAATTCTAAAGGTGTTCTTTTTATCAAGAAGTGCTATAGTGCTTCTCCCTCCCTTCTTGGACTGGTTTCTTTTTTCTTCAAGATCAAAAGAAGTCTTATTCCAATCCAGTAACAAGCTTTCTTCATTGTTGATTATACCAAGAAGGCATTAAGCAATAATTCCTTATAAATATAAGACTTATTATAAGTATCTTGAACATTCTTAGTCAGCAATAGAATAGTGGAAATTAAATGATTTGCCCAGTTGCAAGTGGTGATAAAGAATTTATCTTGATGGACTGAAGTTAATATTGGAAGGTTTTTATTTACCAGAACAAACTTTTCAATTACTCTTTTATTTCCCTTTTCTTTTCTTAAAAAATAAAAATTTTTTATTTCTTGGAACTACAGGATTATTTTGATGTGAAAGTCTGAATGTAAACTAGTTGAGATCTTTTAAAATATAGTCTTTGATGTCTTGTTTTAAAAAGGAACAACTTTTATTATTCCTGACAATTACATCTAGAGAGTTTAGATTTAGAAAGTCCAAGATAGTTAATATCATGCAGTAATAGTTTAATGAACCTACTCCCTTGTAGTGAGATAGTTAGTAAATAGCTAAATCATGTGAGCAACATAATAGTCTTGGTATTAAGGATTCAAGAATCATGTACAAATCTAAATTTATTGATGGGTGTTCTGCAATCTTATGTGCTAGTTTAGCTTTAGTTAAGGATCCTAACAATTCTCTTTGATTCTGTATTCGATTCTCAAGTTTATATTAAATTTAATAGGTGAAATATATCTTACTATCATTTTTAATAGTGTTCCAAACCTCATGCGATTCTGTTCAATTCTATTTGATTCCAATTTTTGGAACCATAGCTTTAGTATAGTATAATGTATATTATACTGCTGTTTTTCAAATTGGATAAATAAACGTTTGCTCTTGTAGTTTAATTAGAGACAAAAAAAAATCAAATTTCAGTTTAGAAAATATCTCTCTAACAATAAGAATTTAAGAAGCTTAAAGAAAAAAATATCTGATATAGTTTATAATTATATTATATATTAATAATAATAATTTTTAATAACTTGTTTGTATAATATTTATTAAACATATAATACTGACATTGTTAATTAAACAACAAAACAATAAAAAAACAACAAAATTTAAATATGACTAAAAAATTTTAATATATTTTTAAATTCTAAAATATATCAGTACACAAAATTTTATACAACCATATTAAAAATATATATATATAGTTTTGTAAATATTTTCAATTATAAAAACAGAAAAATGTTTTTATTAATGAATTGACATAAAACTTAATCTATTTTTTTTATAATTGCATATTTTAAAAATATGCTTATGACATTTTTTTATTTCTATAAATCTTTATTTGTCAATTTCATAACAAACATTTGATATAAAAATTTTTATCATCATCATTTCAGCAACATACTGTATACTATATGCTATTAATAAAATTTTTTTTGAAATCTCCAGAACTCCAATTATATCATTCATTCTTTGTAATAGGTATAATAAGTATAAATATTTAAAAGTTTTTAAATGCAATAAATACAATATAAATATACACAATATACGGCATCAATACAGTATATTTATATTATAGTATATTTGGTATATAATATATCAAATAAAAAGTATCATGTTTAGTTCTTGTAAGTTTAATTTATATTTGGAGAAAGCAAAAAAAAATGTTTTTTAATATAAATAATGCCTAAAAATGCCCATCATTCAGATCAAATAACATTATGAATTAATCTATCACCCTCACATATACTTATTAATTATCGTTGTACTAGCACAAATAATCGGTTTTACAATGGATACTTTATTAATAATTTATTAATCAATTCTTGTCTCTCTTTCTATTCTGGTTACATTTATTGTATGCGACGCGTCCTCCCCTAACTATTGTTGCATCATGCAAGCTCTCTAAACTCTGCGCCCATCAATCATGCATGATTGATGCCCCACGCGGCACCGCGCCCGACCCCACATGTCGCGTCCCAACCCCTACTACAATTTTTATGCTAACGCCTTCCATATGAGCAATATCCACTTTGATATGACTCCACTTTGAATACTTCTAACTCCTCAGCGATAAAACTATTGGTATCCAAAATTTTCTCGTCATAAAAACGCCTTTTACATTTTCCATATTTTCCATTAAGTATCAAATCACTATTTCCGAAAGCCAAAATATCCTTATTATTTACAAATATTCCGTTAACCGAACTAGACCGACCAATAATTCGATCGTCTATACCTTTAAAAGAAAATATAAAATGATCATTATTATTAATCCATAATTGATCGTTACCCCACCCGGTTGCATTAAATCCGCCAACTATAGTGCCTGAATCCTTTATCTTTATGAATGCAACCACTCTTCCTTTGTCATTAACTTTTTGGTGAAACGAACCAACATCAAATCCATCACGAGTTCCACTGTAGAGAAGAGTAAATTGATATTGATTTTCTTTAGAAATAAAAGCCAGTGAATCCTTTCTTTCAATCCAATTAGAAATAACAGCCACATGCTTTCTTTTAACAAATTTCGACTCGGCTATAAAAGGCCTAATACGTGCAGGTAGTTTCTTGTACTTTGGCTCCTCCTCGGCCATTAAGAAAGCAATGACATCTTCATAAAGTGGTTTTGGTATAATTTTTCGAAAAGGACGAACCTTATTATGAAAATCTTTTAAAGAAATGTCATAGAATCTAATATGGGAAATGAAAGGAATTATGGATTCTTTTAAATCCATAAAATTATTTTTCGAAAAGCTCATTACTTCTGACAATTTCCTTCCTCCGATTCCTGGTGTCCGGTAAATACCCCATTTAATAATGTGATCCCAGATAATTGGTTCTTCGATTTCAAGATCATCGCGTTTAATTACTTCCAAAATAATATTCTTATCAAGCAATGTAAAATCATCAGAAGCGAAGAAAGGTTCAGGATCAATACAGATAGAGTCTAGACAATAATCTACAAGTTTTTTACAGCTGGGAAGCTGAAAAATGGCTTGAAAAATCACAGTAAAATTACTTTTGACCCAGGAATACTGTTTCTTGATAAAATGATCTTGAATACAATCAGTTAATTCTCCTATGAGTAATTCATCAGACGCAATTAGAAGGTCGAGAATGTCGGAGTTGAGAATGTTCTCTAAATTAAGAATTCCGGAATAAAAATACCTAGTTATAAATATAATGTTAGTATACTTGGAAAATTTTAGGATATAAAGGAATAAGATTAATAATGTTAGATTACTTGAGAATTAATGCAAAGGAGTTCGGGGAAATATTCGGCTTATTAAATAAAATGATTCTATCTTTAATAGTAGCCCATGACCCGGAGAGTGCCCTTTTAAAATAAGGTGAACGTGCTCTTAAAATTACAGAATGTGCACGAAATTCTTTAATTTCGGTGTTTTCCCCAACTTTGATATTAACGTCATAGTTATCTGCGCCATCAAGAAGTTGATAGATGTCTGTGATAAGCTTATTATAGAAAAAATTTACCATTTCGTTCTTTGGTTTTTTAGCAAAGTTAATTAAGAAAATTTCTATCAACCGGCATCCATCAAATAGTAATACGTACATTTTGATACTGCGCCTACTGTAATTGTACCCGCATATAGAATTGATACTAGATAATTACTAATAGGGTAAGTAGTTCGACCAAAACTAGTTTAACCTGGTTGACCTTAAACATGATTATCACATGGCGTTCTTTTAAAGTCGAAATCTAGCATAAACAGATTGTTAGAACCGCCAGTTATGCTCGGTTTATTTTGTAATTACACCTTATACATTTTTTAGGTTAAGTGTCTAAAGAGGTGATGAACCATAAGAGGATACAAAAAAGAATAATGGCGAGGCTAACGAATCTGGAATAACCATTTTTTACAATTATTCCTTTGTACTACTGTATATACGATAACTATGGAACAGTTGGCAATGTTCTGTCACTTGACTAATGTCTTCACCGTTAAAATAGTTATTTTAGGTCGTATTCCTCCTATACAGTATCCTTAAAGCACTTGAAACTACTGTATAATAATATTAAAATATATTGGAAATTTCGTGCATGTACGTTGATTTTGTGATCTTGATACAACTCAAGATATTATATTGACAAAATTCTAATATTGCTGATGTTTCTTCATATTGATTTGTTAAAAGAAAAATTTTTTTTCTTAGGAATAACAGTTAATGTCTAAATAGTTAGGATATACCTTATGCGGCTAGCGCTTTCTTACAATAAAACATCGGTAGTAACAACCGCTAACATGGCTATTGTAATAGAAAATTTCAAGGTTCCTTCGCAATACCCTTTGCCTTTCTACCTAGAGAATATGATTACAAATGTGCATTACACAATCTTTTTGAGTGTGAAGGTGATGGAATTAAGAATAAGAATCAAAGGATGTCTTTGCTGATGATTTATCAAAAGGAGAATACCGTACTGTGAAATATAAGATAAGATCCGAGTATAATTTGCATCTCAAATATTTTACCTATAGATTGTCATGTCTTATCACCATCCGAGATGAAGAGATGAGTGTATGTTATTTTGGATGCTTAGGTTTTATTTATTATTTATACGGTCTTAATATTTGAAGTAATTTATTGAAGTTGAAGTTACCATTATGTAAAAGAAATTTCAATCAAAATTATTCATTGGTAAATTTTAATGGGTGTAAAATTAAATATCTCAATGAACATAATCTCTTGATAATGAAACGTACATGACATCCAATTTATATTGAACCAATTCAAAAAATTCCTAAAGCTTTGACTTCATGAATTTCACTGTCTTCCTGGGATTCTTTATCTTTTCCTTCATCTTCGTGTTTCCTCTCGCAAAGCAAAGTTTCCACCACATATCCAATTCTTCCGCCAGATTTTTTTAACAACTCTTCATAGTGAGCATTATACTCGGGCGAGAATCCCATTGAATTTAGGAGTCTAATCTTCTCATCCAATTCCTCGGGAGTAAGGGGACCATGATGATGATGTCTAGCGTACTTGTGACCGTGACCATGTCGATGACCATGATCGTGTCGATAGCCATAGACGCGACCATTACCGTGACCGTGACGAACGTGACCGTGTTTGTGATGACCATGATAGACAGATTCTTTTGCATCTTCACGATGATCAGATTCAGCAACATGAAGTATTTTTTCTGGTGTTAAATAGGATTTTCCGTGAACTTCACGGCCACTGTAAAATGGATTTCTGTGATGAGAATGAAGATCGTCACGCAAAAAATGACAATTATTAAAGCATTCTGATGAATCCAACCTAGCGTGACCAAATTTTGGTTCTCGCCTCGAGTCACGTGAATTGGTGATAATAAAGTAAATTTCAGAGTCGGAGTTACTATGGTCGACCTCCTCTTCAGCAAATGAACTAAAATCTTTACACTTCTCTTCATAATCCCTAACATTCTGCTCCGGTTCAATTTCGATTTCGGTAATTTCTGGCTGAGCAAAGTAACTTCCAGTAGCATCATGATCAACATCTTTGATTTTTAATTGTTCCATTTCAACGACAGTTTCTTCTACATCTGAAGGCAAAATTGTTAAAAATAGTCTGATGGGAATACCCATTGATGCTTGAGCAATGACTTCATCAAGTTCGATATCACTTGAAATTGTTATCTCATCACCATCTTCGTCAATGTATGAAACAATGAATTTGCTAGTACACGGGATACTAAATAGATTACGTAATTGACTTTCGAATCCAAACCAACCAATAAATCTACTAAGAATAAATCGACGAGACGCGTGCTTGCAACATACTTTGAATTTTATCATTTTTTTTTTTGCAAAAGATTTGTCTATCGGAAACGGAAAATGTTTGTGAGAATGTCCTTAAATACATTTTCTGATATGCGTGAGAAAATCACTGGATATGGAAAAAATGATGTGATGTCACACAGGATGCTTACGCTTTGCACGACTAGTTCTTGTTTAAACAAGGCGGACAAGGTGTCCAATGAATTTTAAACACTTCATCTTAACAAGAATATAAATCGGTTTACTAAGAAATGATGTAATTAAGATATTATCACACTCGTAAATACAACAATCCTCTATCACTATGTAACTGAAAACTACGATTACAGTATAAACCCCTACATGTAAAGAGAATTAAGAAATACAATCAATCTATTGAAACAATGGATTAAGAATAAATATGTGTTTTTATAATTCTCCAGGATAGTTATTCTAGTAATGAAACGTTCCAAAGACAAGAACAAAAAAAAATTACGAAGAATCGCAATGTTCAAGAAAAGTCAATGATCATTTTTTATAAACGAATTATGAATATTCAACAAAAGATAAATATTAAATATTTGTCAAATCCGAACAACAAACTACAAAAAATATTCTGTTATCCGAAAATTCCTAATTTCTAAAATATTTTCCATTCATTCAAAATATTATTTTTAAAAAATTCTTTATACGGTATATGCGATCATTTAAATTAACTTAATATTTAAAATAAATATTTTTTTTGTTAAATTTATAATAATAATAATAACTATTAATATTCTTTTTTCTTTTTAATATTTGCCCATTATTATATTAATTATTCTATATAACTAATGTAAAAATGAATAAATATTCATTAAATCATTTTTAATAAATGATATAAATATATTTGATTGTATAATTTACACAAGAAAAATAAATACGTCAGATAAAATTATATAAAAATTAAAAATCTTATTACTTATTTAAATTACTTAATATATCAAATTCAATTTTAATTGTTTACCATAAAAAAATGATATAAAAGATTATTAGGAAGATTAATTTTTGTTATTTTAATTGGTTCTATTATTAATTTTCAAAAATATCATTAATGTAATCTATTTTATATTACTTTTTTATTATTTATAATAAACAATTATATTTGATTTCATGTATATTTTTCAAGTTATAAAATATTTCATTGACTGTAATTATTTGTTAAAACTTAAATTAGAATAAATTCATTATAAGTAATTTTTTTTCTAATTTTATTGAATCAATTTTCATTTAATAAAATATATGTTAAATTAAAGATTATAATTAAAAATTATTTATAATTAACAAAAAAAATCAATAATTATATTTTTATATAACTTGATTAATTTAAATATCAATTTGATTAATTAATATAATATGCATATATTATATATTAATATTATTTAATTAAAAAAAACAACATATCAATAATTTTGAATAAATTAATATTTAAAATTAAAATAATAGTAATAATGGTAAAACTTTTGAAAAATCAAATTATAAAATAAAAATACATTTTTCGTTATCTATTTACACATTATTAAAATAAATTCAAATCAAGTTTAATTTTAAATTCTTTATTTCTATCAGAATGAATCAATATTATAAAAAACGGTTTAAAACAAAACTTAATCAATCTATGTAGGTATAGATAAAAGAATATTGTTTCTTTTTTTAAACAGAAATTATAGATTCTATATTTTTTTTAAATACTTTTATTTTTAATAAAAAACCTATCAACCATATAGAATATAATTGTTTATATATAATTATATAATATAAATATTTAATCAATTTATGTAAATAATAATATACAGTATGTTTTAAAATTAAATATTAAGATCTAAATCTTTTTATATTCGTGATAATGAATTTGACATATTTTAATAAAATAGTTTTTAAAAAAAAAAAAAAAATAAACTTACTGAACAAATAAGGTTGAGGATAAGCTACTCTTTTATTAATTAGTAATCATAATTAGATACTTTAGCCACTAATGTCAACCGTTCTTTCTCCCCAAGAATATTATTTCTTATACAGCATTTTAATATATGTATATTATACCTTTTTGTTTTTATTTAATAAATATAGGCTAATCTATTCCATCAAATATGTACATTGTATTGAACATTAAATATTAGAATAAATACATACGTTATTTAGTTAATTATAATTGATATTTGAACGTAAAAGAAATTCGATTTCAATCATTATTTCGGCACCAAGTATTCAAATGTTCAAAGACATGCGTGATTATAATATCTTTTAGCTTTGGCCACAGAAGTTATTTATCTTTCTGTAATTCTGTATAAAAAAGAACAAAAATAATGAATACTGTATTATTTGCCGTATTTGATGTAATGAATAAATTCATACGTATAAATGGATTCAATGTACTGTATGTTTATATCATTATTTACCAATATATCGGCTTTAGTTAATTCTGTTAAAATTTTCTATCATTTTTCCTAATCCGTAAAAATGTTGCAAATTTCATTAGCATAGCATGTGGACGTTTCTTTAGATTCCCACGGCGTGCCTTCAATAATAGTTTGTCGTAACACGTCGCATACTTGAGTTTGAAGAAATCTCCCACATAATTATGCCAAACTTCTGGTGCTATGTATGTATGGTATACAATATAACTTTAAGGAGCACAATTACAGTATAGTGTCCGAAAGATCACTGTACATAATAAGATATGCACCATTAAAATATCCATGACGGGGTACTACAGTATACACCGTGACGTACAGTAATCCATAAGAATGTGATCTTTGGAAGTTTCATCTCTAGATACTCCATAACATTTTGAAAATGAGCAAAAAAAAAGAAAGGAGCAAAGAAAATTAAATAATAACATGCTATTTTTTAAATAAAAATTACCTCTTTTATAAACTCTACCACAATCTCATGATCGTAAAGTAGTTTGGGTGAACCTTTTTAGTATTCCACGAGGCACGCCCGCAAACCCACCTTGTCCTATATTTTAATATCCTTAAATTCCTTATAAAGAATCCAAAGTAATGGATACTGTAGTCACCTTCGGAAGCATTTTTTTAATTTCATTATCAATATCAAAATTTTTTATGTATTGATTCATTTGAAACTATAACCTTTAATGTTAGATTAAATTAGTAGAATAGCTTTGGTCTAGTGATTGATCCCCTTCCCTAACTATTTACATATTGTCAATTTATACATAAAAAAATTACTTACGCTTGACACTAATGCATAGCGATTTGAAAATTTCTTGCAACTCTGATTCCGTTTCTATAAAACACAGCAACCATATTGTTGTTGTCTGTCGCTAACTTCAGCTTCTCTTCGTATGACGATAATTCGAACGCCCGGATTTTGGCACTAAATAAGGTAAGGAACTTTAACTCTGAGCGGGTTATGATTTGGATGGTTCCTGCACTTTCTAATATCCTTTTGAGCGTCCTTTCTAGGCGTGTCTCAAGATTCTCTCTACACGGTGCAAAGGTAACGTTGGTTTCTCCCTTAAAGTCGTTTACTGTAGTCTTAATTTATAATTTATGAAGTAGAATAGCATTTATTTTCTAAAAGCAGAAAAACAGAAGAGCGTTCTAAAAACTAATCGTATAAAACTATCCTATTTATATGACGTGTTGACGCGTCCACCCAGCTACAGCTATGACTAATTTATTGCATCATTTCCCATTGTTACACGACGCGTCTCAATTGTCGCGTCACCTGAATATTCCCACAACAATATCATTCCATCCATTTCACCCACTTCGATAATACTCGAGTGTCTTAAGTTCACTTCAATTCCATTGAGGTAATTGTTACCAAGATGAAATGTTTATATGCATCGCCCATCTTTAAGTGCGAGTGTTGTATTGCAATCTACCATCTCGAAACTTGTTGCTTATTGTATAGGGTTTTTGGAGTTTTCACGCCATAGTCCGTATGAACCCAAAGATAATAGAATTTTTTTTTTTTTTTAAAAAAAAAAAATCCATCAATGTCACTTAAGCTGCTTTTCAAGAAGTTCTACTTATTAAAGACATGCTACTAGAACTTTCTAAAATTCATGATTTTTTTTTGACTGCGACACCGATAACAAAGTTCAATTATGGATTAATAATGATTATTATTATATCAAAAAATAAATCAAATACAAATATCTATCGATTTTATTTTTTTTTTCGATTTTTCTTTTTATTAAACTGAATGCCCGATTTTATGGTTGATGGAAATATGCTGTGACTATTATAAATACGGTAAATTGAGAGGCAATTAATTCCCGATGACTATTCAATTGCCGGTATTCATTTCTTATCTTATCGCAAATTTGTAGGATATACCGGAAATAATGCACCATATCTTGGAAATGGTAACTTATGTTTAATGTAGAACAGAAAATCCACTTTTTTACGATAAAAGCATAATGACCTCGAAAACATTATCCATAATTCTTTTATTTTGCATTTTTACATTGTGATAACTGATCATAACCTTCACACAAACTACACCATTGATCTGATGGTGTCAATGTTCTAAATTTTTGCGGCAATTCTATAAATTGACCCATCATTCCCGTGTTTGAATGCCACTGAAAACAATTGGCGAGTTATAACATTAAGAATTTGGAATAAGAAAATTATCAAGATAATTTAATGTTCAAATGAGCAATCATTATAATTACCACGATGGGACATTCAAAAGTCCATACGCCGGGATTGTTGATCTTAAATCTTATCAATGTCCACCTATTTACGTAGTTTGGGCAACTAATTTATCAAAAGTCCATCGTGCCGTAAAAAATGAACTGATAATGATAACATACCCAAGCGCAGGAACACCAACAGTGTCCCTTTTAATTGGAATTGTCTCATTCCGGTTTAAAGGTAACAGTGTTTCGTTGCCCTTTCCACTCCCGAGTACCCAAAAACTGTGACCATGCTTTTTGGTGTTTAATCAATCTTGATTAATCGGTTGGCATCATATCATGAAATGTCTTATGATAATACTAGTCATATTCCTACCAAGTGAAAGATAAGTTCCCTGGCATTTTTATCTAAAAATTGGAAGGGAAATATTTTTAGGATAATCGCGTAGGACAATAATAGCAATTGAATAGAAATACGGTAGTATCAACTTAACTAATCAAATTCATATCCATAACACCGGAGGTCTTTATGATATATGCGTTCCACTCGTGTTCGAATTCTTTTCTTTCACCTTTCAGCACTTCATAAACGGTTGATGTGGTCTTGTTTTGTGTGTAATAGTAAGTCCCTCTGGTTTTTGATGATATTGTAGAGTGAGGCAACTGAATCATACTGGAATTTTCGCATGTCATAGTATCGGAGGAATTGTAAGGTGAAACAGTCGTAACTGTTTCATCTAAAGAGTCAGAGGAATTGTGAGAGGAGGATCTTTTGTCTATATGATGATGTATGTGAATGACAATAGAGGGTTGCGCATTTGTTAAAGAAGTTATTGAAGGTTGTGATGAAGTCG